CTTTCTCACTTTCCCTCTCTCACTCTCTCTCTCTTTCTCACTCTGTCCTTCTCTGGCCAAAATAAATAAATAAAGTTAAAGAAAATAATTCTTTTTTTTTTTTAATTGGAGAGGTTTTTCCTATAGGGTATGTGTGCTTACCAGAAAGACAGAGACAGAGAGACAGAGAACAAGAAATCACTGCCCAGAGGGGATGGCCACGCCTCAATCCCTTCTCCTCCATTCTCTTGGGATCTTGGACACCCATGCACACATGCCTGGCATGAGTTTAAGCCACCAGGTCTGGGACTCAAACCACAGTGGACTGCATGGGAGTCCAGCAACATAGTCATTACGTCAACTGCTGGTCCCAAAAAGATAATTCTTAAAAAAAGAAAGAAAGAAAGAAAGAAAGAAAGCTGGATCCCATATGGCCAACTATGGTTTGAATCTTGGCCTTGGCAGCTTGAAAAACATACCAGGCATGTGTGTGTACAGGCTCAGAATCCCAACAGGAGAGAGAAATGGAGAAGGGATTGAGGCATGGCCACATCTCATTTTGGAGTGATTTATCTCTCCTTCTTGCTCTCTCTGTCTCTGGTGAGCACATGTCTTCTTTTACATTATTATTATTTTATTTAACTTTGTTTTTAAAAATAATTATTTATTTAATTTTATTTATGCATTCATTTATTTAAATTTGACCAGAGAGAGACACACAGAGAGAGAGAAAGTGAGAAAGCAAGCCACCAGGTTTAGGACTTAGACCATAATCAGCCATGTGGGAGTGTCCAGCTCCTTAACCACCACGCCACCTGCTGGTCCCTAACTTTATCTATTTTAATTTGACCAGAGAGGGATAAAGCAAGAGAGAGATTGAGAGAGAGAGAGAGAGAGAGAGAGAGAAAGCTGCCAGGTCCAGGACTCGCACCATGGCTGGCCCTGCGAGAGTCCAATGCCATCTTCTGGCCCCGAGCACATGTGCCTTCTTGCAGTTAAAAAAATGAGTAAAAAGGGCCAGCAGGTGGTGTGGTGGTTAAGCTACTGGATTACTACATGGTTGACCGTAATTTGAGTCCTGGACCTTGTGACTTGAAAATCATGTCAGGGCTATGTGCACACGAACCCAAAATCCTAAGACGGGAATGGGGAAGAAGGAATCATGGTGTGGCCAACCCCTCTGGGGGCTGATTTCTCACTTTCCCTCTCTCTATCTCTCTCAGGTGAGTGCACGTGCCCTATGACAACAGAAAAAAATTAGTAAAAAAGATAAAATGCAGTTGGGGTCATACTATGCATATCTGTTCTATCAGTCAGAAGGGGAGAGACTAGTAAATGAGGACAAAACGATATACAGAAGCAATGGAAGGAAGGATGAACCTAGGGCTCCTGGGTGAAGGCCGAGGTGGAGGCCACAGAAGAAAGACACTCAGGCCCGGACTGCAGGCAGCATGCAGGAGAGGCAGCCAGACCCCAAGATGGCCTTCTCAATGCTCCTAAACACATAGGGTGTAGACAGACTATGATGCTGGGTCCCCAACACGGAAAGGGCTTCAGCAAATTGCTGGGCTTAGGGTCATGGTGGTCAGGTACAGTGGCCTCCTAGTGATTATCTGTGAGGACACAAAACCACGGACCAGCTGCCCTCCCTGGTGTGGCATGGAGCAGATCCCTAACAGAAGGAAAAAGAACCAATCTAGTCCCAGAAGTGAAACGCTGCCATTTTCCCCCTTAAGGTTGATTTATTGATTTCTTTCATGAGTGAGAGAAACCAAGAAAGAGAGACAGGCATTCCCACGGGGCTCCCCTACCGCAGCCCACCTCCAGTCCATGACCAACATGCACAGAGGTGCCCTGCATCACAGACTCAAGACCCTCTGTGTAAGTCCAGCATTGCAGAGCATTGTGTCACAGCTGTTCCTCTCGTTTCCATTTTATTTAAAACAAAACATTTTCTTTTTTTGGAGAGGTTTTTGTTATAGGGCATGTGCACTTACCAGGAAGACAGAGAGAGACAGAGAGACAGAAAGCGAGAAATCACCCCCCGGGGGGGATGGCCATGCCGCAATCCCTTCTCCTCCATTCTCCTCTCAGGATCTTAGGCACGCAAGCACATGCACCTGGTGTGAGTTTCAGCCACCGGGACTGGGACTCAAATGGCAGTCAGTTACGTGGGAGTCCAGCAACATAGCCATTATGCCAACTGCTGGTCCCTAAAAACCATTTTTTTAAAAGAGATTTTTGTTATAGGGCACATGAGCTCACCAGAGAGACAGAGAGATAGAAAATGAGAAATCACTCCTCACGGGGATGGCCTGCTGCCATCCCTTCTTCATTCTCCTCTCAGGATTTTGGGCACATGCATACATGTGCTCAGCATGAGTTTCAAACCTCTGGGTTCAGAACTTGAACCATGGTCGGCCATGTGGGAGTCCAGTGCCTTAACCACTGCACCACCTGCTGGCCCTTACATTTTTTTTTTTTAATTGCCACAGAGTACGTGGGTTTGTATGCATGAGAGAGACAGAGAGAGACAGAGAGGAGAGGATAGAGAGCCCCTTAATGGGGCATAGTCACGCTGCAATCCTTTTTCTCCATTTCTCCATTCTGTCAGCAACCTTGGCCTACAGGCATACGTGCCCAGCATGTTCCTCAAGCTGCTGGGGCCAGGATTTGAACGATGATGGGATCCAGCTCCGCATGCATAAGGCTTAACCATTGCCTTATAGGCCAGCCTGATTAATACATTTTTAAGTAGCTGGAAAAAAAGTCGTGAGGATTATTTTGTGATGTGAGCATTATCTGAAATCCCAATTTCAGTGTGCAGAAATACAATTATATTGAAACAACCATATAGGGCTGGCCTTGTTACTGTCCTGCCCCATCCTATCATGTTTTGTTTCGTTTTGTTTCTAGTTTTTTTTTTTTTTTTTCCCCCCACAGGGTGCATGCACTCACCAGAGAGAGAGAGAGAGATGGAAAGTGAGCCCCTGGGGGGCATGGCCATGTTGTAGTCCCCTCTCCTTTATTCTCCTCTTGGGATTTTGGGCACACATGCACATGTGTCCGGCATGACTTTTAAGCCTCTGGGTCTGGAAAACAGAGAGAGAGAGAGAAAGTGAGCAAGCAAGCAAGCAGGTTTGGGACGCAAACCTTGGTCAGACATGTGGGTGTCCAGCGTTTTAACCACCATGCCACCTGCTGGTCCCGATGGCTGCTTTTCTTGACTGTGTTCTCCAGGCACATGGGCTGCCTGTGAGCGCCTCAGCTCTTGTTCATTTCTGCCTACAGGGCCGCTACCCTTGTGTGTATTCACCCAGGTGGGGACAGCCACCGCTCCGTTGGTGAGCAGATAGGAGGCCCACCCAGAACATGAAGAACTTCCTTAGCATAGGTGCTGCCCAGGCACAGCAGGGGCCCAGAGCCCCCACCTCAACTTACCTACACACTTCTCCAATCCACTCTGCTGCCAGAATCTCCAGGCCCAGGCCCAGGCCACAGGATGTTCATTTGATGTATTGCCCTTTCTGAGCCCCAAATGACCCAGTTAGGATGGGGGCACACTTGGGTCGTTTATGTCCTGCACCACTCTGGGAAGGAAAGGCCCTGAGGTGGGCCCCCAGGCTCAGCTACAGTCTCTGGGGGACAAAGGTTAACACCAGCTGCTAGCGAGGACTGAACACTAGGTCTGTTTTGTGACAGGGGCACCAAAACAGCTAATGCCATTCTCAGGGAAGACACACGGATGGGCCCTCTGCTGGGTTGTCCCGGGGCTCAGTGCAGGGACAACCTCCTCAGGTTTCCCGATTCCCCTGCACCCTCCTCCCTGGGCAGTAGTGAGGCTCTCTGAGCGCCTAGGTCTGTTACTCCAAGCCAACAACTGAAGAGACAATGCCAGCTTGATCCCAGAGCAGACCTCAGTGCCCAGCTGTGGACGAGGCCTGCCACAGGCTTGCCCTCTGCAGAATGCTTCCTCCCCATGCGGCCTACACACAAATACCAATTGTTGGCATTGACCCCAGGCCAAAGGCTGCCAGATGGCAACCTATGGTTTCCACCCGCTGCCTGGAAGGGCCTCCTCCTAGTCCAAGTAGTCTGTGTGAACTGGGCTGCAAACCTCAACCACCCTGTTATCATCTTCCCACCGCTGCTTTCGGGCCAGCCCACTTTGTACACTGGGGCCTCAGAGCGAACTCAGCCTGCATCCCTCTCCCACGTGGGCATCTCTGTGATAAACAGCCCTCCAGAGGGGTGAGGAAAGGTAAGGGGAGGTGGGATGTGTGTCATGCCATTTCCTCAAAAGGGCAGTCCTCACCCAGCTTCAGGCTGATGACACCAGGCGTGGGCCGAGGCCTGGCAACGCAGAGTGGACAGGCGCAGCCATTAGCACTAATGAGGCAGGCGGCCTGAAAGCTTTTTACTCTGAAGCTGCTCGCCTACCCAGGGAACAGTCCGTTCTTCCTCCGCTTCCAGGAACATTGGGCGGAAAGGGGTTTGGAGACAGGAACAGGGGTGGAGGTCTTGGAAAAGCCACAGAGGAGAAGAGGGGGGATATGGGACCAGGGGTGTAGCTAGGAGAGCTTGGTTTTGGCTAGGTGAGTTTCTCACCTCCCCTCTCCCTCTGGAGAAACCAGGGTCTAGCTTTATACCCCATTCCCTGGCCCACAATGGCCACTGGCCCATCACCCCCTTGACCCAAGTTCCTGGAAGCAGAGGAAATAACATGCCACACAGGGTCTGAATGAGCATCTCCGGGGCCACAAATTAAATTAACCTCTCAGGGCTGCCTGCCTTATTATTGCTAATGACTCCATCCTGGTCCCCCTCCTGGGTCCCTGGACTGTGGAAATTTGGGGGCCTTGGGTACCCTATTTTATTTCTAAACCTTAATTGGCTCCTGGAGACCTCCCCCCCTAATTGGAGATAAGCACCTCTCTCACAGAGCACACAAAGCCTCCATTGCAGAGAGTGAAGCCCAATCTGTGTCCTCCCCTCCAGGAGGGGCCTTTCAAATGCAGCTGCAGGGAGCAGTCACGTGTGGGCCCTTCATTAGACCTTGTCATATAAGCCTAGGGCACGGACACGGGGTGGCCAGGAACTCTCTAGGCAAGGATCCAGCAAGCAGAGGTAAGTCCTCAGGTTGGGCAGGCACTCCTACTGTCTGTGGATCCTTTCTCTGGGCACACAGAGGGCGCTCTGAGGATGAGCAGGGACTGAGTGCTGGGTCTTCCCGCTGAGCCAGGCCATGCTGACCGCAGTGCTGCTGAGCTGTGTCCTGCTGCTGGCCCTGCCCACCATGCAAGGGGCCCAGATGGGCTTGGCCCCACAAGAGGGCATCAGAAGGCCTCACCAGGCCCCGTTCCCTGAACTCCCAGGTCAGTGTGGGCCAGGGTAGGGCCTAGACACTGGCCACAAACTACCTTGCTTGGTACAAGCCTTCCTTCCACCTTCCCAATCCTAGCCCTGGGAGGTGGGAATTTTGCTATGGGGCAGATGGGGTGGGGGGAAGAGTACTGCTTCACATGTTCCGTCCCAGACCTGGGCCTGCCAAAAAGGACAACTGCAGAACAAGAAGAAGCTCTGCTGCAGGAGGCTGAGGCCTTGGCAGAGGTAAACTGCTCAGGAAAAGGGGTAAGGTGGCAAGCTTTGGGAGGGGACATCAGATACCATCCCCTCTCCCGACCTCTGGACACCCTCACCAGGGATGACACTGCAGACCTCTCCCCAGTCTCCCTTGCCATCCTGCATGGATCGGGACAGATGAAGTGATGAAGTCCCTTGACATGCCTTTGGAGCCTGTGCACCACGTTCCTGCTCCCCCACCCCATGCAGGTGCTAGACCCGCAGGACCGTGAGACTCGCTCCCCGCGACGCTGCGTGCGGCTGCACGAGTCCTGTCTGGGACAGCAGGTCCCTTGTTGTGACCCGTGCGCCACGTGCTACTGCCGCTTCTTCAACGCCTTCTGCTACTGCCGCAAGCTGGGTACTGCCGCGAACCCCTGCAGCCGCACCTAACTGACCGACATCGGATTCGAAGCTGGGGCGGGGGCAGCGGCAGGAGCAGGGGCAGGAAGATACAAATAAAGGTTAGGACCAACCGGAAGGCTGTGGTTATTTCGGACGTGGACGTCGGGGGTGGGGGGATTCATGGCAGGAGTTGGGGTTATCGCCAAGCCAAGAAACCACAGACACCTATACCCCAGAGCCTGGGCTATCTGGGTTATCTGAGCCACATACACGCACAATTCTAGGGTACCAGGCGCCGTTTGGGGAAGCGGAGGACTACCACACACTAGCCCTCTAGAATCTCGCACCGCTGTGAGGAAGGCGGGGAGCAGAGCGTCACAGGGGATGTAACTCCCGGCTAGCGAATACGCTTTAGGCGCCGGGCCTGCTTGCAGCTAATCCGACGTGCGCCCTTCAGCAAGGCCCGCCTCTTACTGGACCTCCTGCGGGTTGGCTGAATTGACAATCAGGAATCTGCCCAATAATAAGCACCGCCCACTACCATCTTTATCCTGCAGTGCCAGGTGCACCAAACCCAGGAAAGCTAGCTAGAGAGGGACCAACCGAATTCCCGTGGCCAAGGACGCCACCACGCGGCGCGACCCGGACAACCTAGTTAGTCTCTCCCAGGGGTGTAAGAGGCACGCCTCCCCGCAGTGCGCAGGCGCAGAGGGCAGTTTCTCCCCCCCCCCTCTCTCCCGCCCCGCCCACACCGGTGCAAGGCTTCCGCCAGGCCACCCGGAAACCGGGAGCGGCTCAGAGCCCCGCCCTATTGAGGTCACGTGAAGCGCCTGCGCGTCA